AGGAGCACGGCAGAGAGGAGATGGCAGACAGCGCCAAGGAGCAAGGGGAAGAGGGAGGGGTGGGTCATCGCTGCGCATGGAGAAGCAGCGGGCATGACCTTGTAAGAATAAAAAGAAAAAGAAAGCAAGGAAACAGTCAAGAAGTGAAGGGACAAAAAGTGCTGAATCCACCCACACATACGTATGCATACGATCAGTCAGGAAGTAGAGCAGAGTGAAAATGTGGAACCAAGTCACACATATGCATTCACATAATCACTTACTAACCCATACATTCCACACTTTACATACTTTCCATACTTGCCTTCTATTGCCATCTAAGAGTAGGTAAAGCAGCACTTTCTGGTCTTCAATTCCAAGCATATACGCAGCCACTCCGTTCAATTTAACGGCAATCCCCTGGGGCACATTCCCCACTACCATGATATCAGGGTGACCAGCAAGGTCCTGCTTTTGCTGAGAAGATTCTCGGGAATCAAAGTGCTCTTTGATGTTATCCATGGACAACAACTTTCCCTCCACATTACAGATAAGAAAGTCTTCAAGGGACCCTGATACGTCCTCTGCCTCCACAAGTTGCGCCATAGCAAACATCTCGGCATCGACTACAGGTTCCGAAGAGGCACCTGTTGCGTCCTTCTTTACAGCCCCATTCATCACCTGGCTCGACAACAGATCATCTACTGCACATTTCCCCTCCACCTCACCCGCATTTTCCACACTGCCTCTAACACCATCAACCAAACAATCCTGGCTGATGAGACCCTGTTGATCACCTCCTGACACTCTGGCGCTCATGTTGCTTGCCCCTACAATTTCACAGCCATTTTCCTCGTCAACATCAACCACCAGCTTTCCTGTCCTCCCAGCTGGTACGTCGACCTCTGAGCACCTTCCGTCTTGCTTATTTGTCTGCGGACTTCCGTCAGCAATCACATTTCCTTCCTGAACATTTCCACTCTGAAATTCCTTGCTTCTCACAGCTCCCTGCTTGCTTTCTTGGGTTCTCTCTCTCAACGTGTCTACCAAAGACCCCAGCTTGTTTGGATCTTCAATATGCTTATCTGCCCTGGACTCAACAATTGTCTTTCCCTTGTCCTTCGAAAACCCATCTTTCAGCAATCCACCTGTCTTTACTTTTACCAACTTTCCATCTATCTTCACCAATTTCTCCCCTGTCTTGGCCATCAGAGTTTTTGTTTTCATGGGCACTACCTTACCAAGCTCCCCCTTTGTCTTAACCAGTTTCTTTGCAGCCTTCACTACCACACTCTTTTCAGTGTGATTGTCGTCAGGCTCGGTAACTGTAGCCATCTTTGCGGTTTGAGGCTTCACTGCCACTGGACTTTCGCACTCTGTGGAAGGAGCCTTAGACAGCTGCACGCCATCATTCACTGACATCAAACCTGCTGCCCCATGCAACTCAGGCTGGGCCCCATCTAAAGCTTCCCCTTTTTCACTGTCAACTAAAACGGCAGCTGATGGCTGATTTCCCTCTCCGTTAGCATTGACCAAGGCATACTGCTGCACTCCCTCTTGCACCTGCAATTCCTCTTCACCTCGGTCAAATGATGGTGAAACATCCGTTGGGGGTATTTGACTTCCCTCTGCCCTCATCACACCAGCTGTGACATCCTTCTGCCCTTTAGTATCTATCACCCTATCTATTTTAGCAACCACATCTTGCTCGGCGTCAGGTATCTGAGGAGGACAGCTCCCACCATCATTGCTCACGTTTTTCTCAGATTCCCTGCAGATCACTGGAGACGCAGGATGTGACACCTCTTTGGAAGGACGAGCACTTGCCTTAGCAGGGAGAGCTTCCCCTGTGCCTGGTTTGTCCAACAGCAGCTTCCCTTGATCCTCTGCCGCAGCAGCTTCAACTGTGCCTGCTCTGTGTGTCAATGACTTCCCTGGAACTTCTGCAACTGTTGTTGGCCTGTTCGTTGGGACCTTTGGACTAATCGAACGCACCAGGAGTGAACTTCCCTTTGCAGATGACCCTCCACCCGCTTTGTCTCCTGGACTTTTCCCTGATGCAGGTAACTTCTTTGCTTGCAAAGGCAGCTGGGCCAGCAAAGCTCCTTTGCTCAAGACACCTGGCTTTGAGACGGACAATGGTGCTGAACCCACTCTCTCAACTGCCAACTTTACTTGTGCAGCTTGTCCAATCAGTTTTTCAGCAAATGACCTTGAAGGTGCATCTCCTGCAGGTGTCCGTTGTCCTTCCCCAAGCAACTTGGAAGGACAAGCACCGTCTCCAACTACTTTTTCAGTGGGTGAGTCCACAGGAAGCACCTGACCACTCCCTCCAACTCCAATAGCTGGTTTTGCTTGTAACGTCAATTCAGCCCCTGCTCCGCCTACCTTCTCTGGTGACATCTTGGATGGTCCAGCAGATATACTTTCACTCACCCTCTCCACAGCCAGCTTCGCTGAAACACCTACGACACCACCCAATCTCTCCACTCCTTTGACAGCATCATTCCCAATGCTCTTCATTCCTGGCAAACTTATTGGCAAAGAAGTGTTGTCACCTGCTTTTCTGGTCGTTGTGTTCATGGGGGCCACCACACCGACACCCGTTGTTTTTGTCAGTGTGTCGTCACCTGCTTTTTCAGTCATTGTGTTCATAGGGGCCACCGAACGAACACCCGGTGTTTTTGTCAGTGGCTTCATCAACGCAGCCCCACCACCTCCTGGCCTTACCATAGGTGGCTTTACAGATGCAGGTCCACTTCCTCCCTTTTCTGTATGTGATTTCAGCATAGCAGGCAAAGATCCTGCCCTTCCGATGGGAGATTTCACCAGAGAAGATCCGCCTCCGACCACCCTCTCCACAGGGTGCTTCATGATCGCGGATGCACCTCCACTGCCTTTCTCGGTCGAGAGCTTGGTGGGTGTAGGCCCAAGTCCACCCACCGTGGTTTCCTGTGAAATAGCAACTCCTCCAAGGGGCTGCATAGTTACAGCCGGAATTTTTTTCACTTTCTGTTGTCCTGGGACCTTCTGCTTTTCAGCTGACGTTTTCCTTCCAGTTGGGCTGGGTCCGTCATCAAGCACTGGTAGCGGCGCCCCAGGGTCATCATTACACATCCACTCCAATGCCTCCCTCTTTATCCCTGTGGCTTCTACAACCCAATCCGGTTTCAACTGGAAATCATGGACAATCTTTGCTAAGCTAAAACAGAAGTCGTCCTTATTCAAGCCCGCATACTGCGGCTGTTCCAAGAGCCTGTCAACAAGGACCATTGCCAAACAAAAGGAATGCCATCCGTCAACAGTAGCATCAGAAAATGAGACATGGTGACTGAAGTTCAATCCAGATCAGATACAAGTACGGCAAGTATAACAAACAGCATATGTTTGCATGCTTCCCTGTGCATAGTATCCTTCTCCACCTCCCCATCTCCTTCACCAACCTCCCATCGCAAACTTCTCCGATGACTGCACCTCATTCTTTTCCTTGTCCTTAACCCTTGCTGTCCCTGTCCTCCTCTTCGTCCTTCCAATCTTCTCATCAGCCTTCCCTTGATTGTTTTCTCATGCTCTTCCTCATCACATCCACCAACTCACTGTCTACAAAGCCTTCAACACCTACTCTACCTCCCACCTACCCCCCCCTGCTGCATCACCATCATTTTCCCATTCCATTCATCCTCCTCTCAACACTGCTTGCCGTCACCCCCCTCTTTCCCCCGTTGACAACATGCTAACCCCAGCCCTCTTTTCCACCCACCAATCATCCTCGTACAAGTTCTCATGTTTTCCCCTCTCACTCTTGCAGGGTTTTACAGGCACCAGGGCTAGGCAGGCTCAACGGGACAAGCCCGGACTGGCCCAGCTTACCAAAGGCTAAGGCGAATCACGGACAAGCCCGGAGCGGGTATTAACCCCTCCCCAGCCCTAGTTGAACCACAGACGAGTGAGCCTTGTCACCCGGGAAACTATGACACCAGGCACAAGCAGTATCCTATCACCCCATAATTACTACTCAGATTCCACCGAGGCACCAGAGTTAGGCAGAATCCAATTTTAATGGATGTCTGGAAGGACAGTCCTTGGCCTCCACACCCTGGGCTTGAAAAAATAATAATAATAAATAACTCCTTCTGGGGCCCCTCAAGCTTCCCGAACCTTCTACTCTCGTTGTCCTCTTCAAGTCAGCCCTGCCTCCCACTTTTCCCCTCCTCCCTCGCCACATGGCCCCTTCCTTATCTTTGCCCCTTCCGCTTCTTTTCTGCCTTCTCCTCCCCTCCCATATCCACTTTGTGCTCCTTCGCCCTCATCCTTACCTTCGCCTCCCTGCCCGCCTCTTACCTTCCTCTTCATCCACTGCTTCCACATAATTTCCATCATCACGTCCTTATCGTCTTGTACTCATTATGACCATGCCCCACTGTTTTCGTCCTCCTTCTGGGGCTCCTCCTCGAGCTTCCGCCAACCTTCTACTCTCATTGTCCTCTTCCAGTCAGCCCTGCCTCCCACTTTCCCCCTCCTCCCTCGCCACATGGCCCCTTCCTTTCATCATTCCTCCCACCCAACTCTGGTCCTCCATTCCTTCTGCTACTCTTCGCCCATGCTGTGCTCTCTCTCTCTCTCTCTCTCTCTCTCTCTCTCTCTCTCTCTCTCTCTCTCTCTCTCTCTCNCACACACACACACACACACACACACACACACACACACACACACACACACACACACACACACACAGAGGCTTGTTGCTTCCTTCTATCCCCATTATGTTCGACAATTACTGCCTTTCACAAAGCGTGCAGAGTTGGAATGTAATCATGGTTCAGTTCCAAGTGGCTTCAGTCCCAAGTGGCACACTCTAAGAACCAGGTCGGTCCTTTCTTCGTATCTCCATTGCCCTTCAAACTTCATATCAATTATCGACTTTTGCAAAGAGAGCAGAATGGGAATGTAATAATCCTGCGCTTTTAACATGCCACACCATTAGGGATGGGAGAGACATCCCCGGCAGGTTTAGGCACAGCAGCGAGGATCTGCATCTGCACCCTTCTAGTTTGCGGAGTCCGTCAATGTGTTCCTTCTTATCTGCATTCCACCAATATTCAACAGGATCACCAAATGCGTTCAGTGTGTGCTTTGTGTCTGAGTTAAGGTAAAACCTCACCACAGTGAACAAAATGTTCTCAGACAGAAGGGATCAGAGACATCATCCGAGTGACTTAGGGATAAGTAATTGGCTTACGTTTCCAGCGCAGGCTTTGAGCGCAACTTGTGGCCCTCAGGACTGTATATATACCTGCAAATACCAATTAGAACCAAGACACATATAAGACTATTTCAACCACTTCACAAAGCCCTGGTGTACTTCATCACCTGCACAGATACGAATTGACCGCATCATCCTTGACCCTTTCCACACCCCAATACATCGCCACATCATCATCATGGTCTTGATGCTGACACAAGGATTTATCACAGCACACAAGGATATCACACAGCAGGCAGTTGGTCGAGTACGAAAAGACAGGGAGGCTTAGCCCCGAGCATGATTGCATCCGTCAGGATTTGAATTCACAATCTCAGCATCGGCAGTTCATGGCATTTGGTCATCGTGCAGGTAACATGTCAAGCGGCGTCAACGAAATCCACATTCAAATCTTGACCAGAAGGAAATATAACCATTGACTAAGGGCAATACAATGTCATATAACTATTGACAAAGAGCAATGCATCCTAGTATAGATATAGCCTAAGAGAGCAGTTGCAAAAGTCAAGCAGGGGACGACTGAGAAAAGAGTAGTCAAACGAAGAGATGATGGCGCCCTTATTTCATTGCCTTTCCTTTTCTGTTTCCTTTAGTTTTATTTATCATTTCCACTTCTCTTTCCGTTTTTGTTTTCCATTTCTTATGTGGCTCTCTTTGTGGGGTGCATGGCTCCCCACATCCATGTCTGTGGTTGAGCACGAGGTGCCTATTCACACATGTCTGCATGCACTCTTCCACCAGCTCGAGGTTCGTCCTTCTGCCTCCTCAATACAATAACCCGAAATGGTTTCAAGTACACGCACACACAACGAATCTCATTACCTGGGACCCCACTGGCAAGCTGTGCAAACGATTCTTTCACTCCGCCTGCAAACGAATTTATAGTTCACAATTCGTTCTGAACTCAAACGATTTGAAAAGCTGGTTCTGCAGACGCTAATCTTCGGCCAGACCTGAAATCTTCCACTGAGTATGAATTGAACGACAGCACCTGTTATGCCCTGAGGGGTCCAAACATTTAAGAACTGGTTCTGCAGACGCTAATCTCCGGCCAGAACTAAAACCTTTCACCGACTATGAATTGAACGGCCCGCAGGCACACAAGTACACCAAAAGCACAGCCTCCGTTTGCAAGGCCACAGAATTTGCTAGAGGGGGTACGAAACTGGTGGTTTAATTAGACGGATAGGCCATCTTCCAGCCCATTGAGACTACGGGCCACACCACACAGCACACCAAACAGGAAAGGAAAAAAAAAATCCGAGTGCATCTGCCCACAGAAGGCGGCAAGATACATTCGTTTCTATTCATAATAACGGATGAATCTATCACGTTGGCCTTAAAAACGAACTCAGTTATTTTCCGGCTCGTGTGCCAATGCCCTACAGCTCCATAGATGTAACGATATGTGGCATCTAAAGGCATCGGCCTTACCACCGTTTTGCACGGTGATCAGGACCATTTCTGGCCTTGGGCTTGATGATTGGCCTAATCAGCGTTGGCTACTGACTGGACCCGGCCAGGCCTGTTCACTTGTGACATGTAGACATTCCTTTCCAAACACGGACATTCTTTTGCCCAGGCCTAGGGCACTTCCGCTGCTCTGTCTTCAGGTAATCTGTTAGTGCTCTGGTCATCAACTCATCACTAGGCTTCCCCTCTGCACTGCCTCAACACCAACACTAAGCTCGGACCCTCACTTCCCATCAGATTCCGAGGCCTGTTCGCTACTGACAAACAGACATCCTTTGCAAACTCGGACATTCTCTGGTGCAGGCCTAAGGTAGGGCACTTCCGCTGTTCTGTCTTCAAGTAATGTGTCAGTCCTGTTGTCATCAACTCTCCACGGCTTCTCGTCACTAGGCTTCCCTCCACTCCTGCATAGTACTATTCGCTGCCTCAACACCAACACTTAGCTAGGAGCCGCACTTCTCATCAGATTCCGTGAGTATGTCCAACAATGCGGTTATCCGTGAGTTTTACAGCCTCGAGTACCTGCACCTCGATTGTTTACCACTTTGCCGAATCAATCCCAGCTAATGCATGCCTAACAGTAGATAGGCGGTGCGCAGAACGGAGTAATCACCAACATGAAGAAAGATAGACAAAAAAATACTGAAAATGAACGATCTGACCGATCAGACTCATGACACAACACATGCATACATCATCATCATGTCAGAGATGCAAGGAGGGGAATATACATAGACAAAAGGTTCCTCCTTGCACAGCACACATATAGGGGAAGTCCACCGATGATGGACGTGAGAGAAGGAGAAAAGTGTGGGACGAGAGTGACAGCTCCAGAGTAGGACAGACGAGGCGGATATGGAGGGGTAGAGGAGAAGAATAGAAGAATGAGAACCTCTCTCTCTCACGCACACACAGACACACACCAGAAGCACGACAGAGGAGGCGGATATGTGGCGGGGTAGAGCAGAGACGAATGAGACAACCCCCCCCCCNCCCCCCCCCCCCTCTCTCTCTCTCTCACACACACACACACACACACACACACACCTCCCTCCAATACTGGCAGGTGAAGATGGTGTCTGGTCTGCAGCAGGGGCGCAGGATGAAGGCCGGCCAGTCGCCGGTGCTCCAGCTGTGGACCTCTCTCCCTGCAGTCTAGCTCCGACCTCTTCTAACGCAGTCCTAGCTCCAACAGTGCCGACTGATCCTGCGGCGGTCAAGGACCAGCAAGCTGGTCCAGATCACGAGCCGCCTGTTAGCAACGCACGCACATCCACCATTAACCCAAACACTGGCATGATGCCAGGGGTTCAAGAGTACAGTTGGCAAGATCAGCCCTGTATCCTTATCTTTTTCTCCAACTTCAAAACACCCACGACCCCTTCCCCGCGTGACCCCCAAAGCAGTATCCTTCCTTCTTTTTTTTTTTCAATTATTGTAAACTGCCACTAAAGAGGCGGAAATGAACTGCGCGCCAAGGTTTGCCGAACTGCCAGCGCGACTTTTTTTTCCCCCTTTTGGCTGGAGCCGCCAACCATTTTGGTCTGGTGGCGCCCGGCCTCCAAAGAATTCTGTGTATGATTTTTTTTTTTTTTTTGGTGTTTCGAGTTTGGCTGTGAGGAGCGGTGGCTTAAGACACCCATCACCCCTTTCAATCCCGAAGAGACCCCTCAAGAGTCCAGAGTGCAGTCGGCAAGGTCAGCCCCGGCTCCTTCTCTTCTTTTCCAATTCAAAGACACTCTCCCACCCCTATTCTCACTCTCCCAATCAATCCACCCACATGTCGCATCCCTTAATAGTATTTCAATTCCTCCATGGCTTCATCCTACCTACCCTCTTACCTTCCTCCCTTCTTTGCACATTCTTGACCCTCCTCGCGTGCACAAGCCACCTACCTTCTTTCCCTTATGAATCCGAGCCATGCGCGGGGCAAAGCCACTCGCCTCTTTTTGGCCTCAAAATTCGAGCCATGCGCAGAGACGATGCTAATTAACCTTTCTCTATATCGTTCCATTCCAAACATTTTAACGGATGTCCAGAAGGACCTTGCCCAACCCCACCAATCCGGCAATCCTTTGGTGAGTGCAGGCACCATCCCATCCATTCACGGAATTGCTCGCTCATTGTCATCATGCACTGCAAGCAGAGAAAGGTAGTCTTGACATGACGCTCTTTCTCCCATCCATTCATTGGATTGATCCCCCGCTTTCTCCTCCACAGTCCTAATGCCTATCTTCGATGCTCCTTTTTCTCCGCCTCCCTTTCCTTCCAGCTTGGCCCCCCTTCCTTGCTATCTTCTATCGCCCTCCTTCCTCGCTATCTTCTATCGACCCTTTTTTCCTTCTTTATCCTCCTTCCCCCGTTTCCGACTTTTCTACCCTTCATTACCCTCCTGCTTGTCCTCCTTTGACCGCACCTCCTCTCCTAATTTCCTCCTTTGTCCCTCTTTGCTTCCCACCCGTGCGCTCCCAAGGTCCCTTGCTTCCATCACACTCTTTTGGTCCTTCACGCGCGCAGAGAACAACAATCCATCATTGATCTTCCTCCTTTCTCACCTGATCGTCCGCACTCGCTCCCTCCCTTCCTCTCCCCTTCGCTCCTTCCCAAACTTCTTCCTCAATTCATCAATCTTCCGCACGCCCTCCCTCCCTTCCTCTCCCCTTCGAGCCACGTGTCCGAGCCTTCCAACACTTAGAACTGGCGCCGCCCTTAACGCCTCGTGTCCAGATGACGCCACGTGTCAAGAATCATGCCCCGTGTCCAGATGACGCCATTCAGGACTGGCGCCGCCCTTAACGCCACGTGTCCAGACGATGCCAAGTGTCCGCGGTGTTTGCCAACACCTGTCAAGATCTGGACAGAATCATGCCTCGTGTGCAGATGAGGCTACTCGAGATTGGCGCCATGTGTCCAGACGATGTCACGTGTCCAGACCATACAATGCCACGGTCACAGACACGTGTCCAGTTTATGTCATGTTTCGAGCACATGCCACGTTTGCAGACACGTTGAATAGTGCTGCGTGTGATGATGCCACGTGTCCACATCATGCATCGTGCAGATGATGCCACGCGTCCAGATGATTTGAGATCGAGGTGATGCCACGTGTCTAAACGATTGCGCGTTGTTCAGAGTATGCCACGCGTCGAGATCATGCCACATGTCAAGATGATGCCACGTCTCCAGATGATGCCACTTCTGCAGATGCGAGCCACCTGTCGAGAATGGTCTCACCTCCTATGTGTCCATCATTGCCTAGGGGAAAAGAAAAAAAAAAAGGGGAAACAGAAGACATTTGGGCGCGCGCGGGAGCGAGTACGGCGATCGGAATGCCTGGGGACGGTGGCGCGCAGCGAGTCAGATCGTACGCGGTCAGCAACGGCATGTTTTCACTGAGTGCGCCAGTTCGAGGCAAGCCAGACCGTATGAGTGTGGGTGCGTGGGTGCCCGGTGGGCGGGAAGATACGCGAGCGAGTGAGAGGGCGCGCGAGTGAGTGAGAGGGCGTGCGAGTCAGTGAGAGGGCGCGCGAGTCACCCTCCGAACATAACGCACCCTGATAATGAATGTATACACTATCTTTCCGTCCCGATGCAGTCAAAATGATGGTGCGTTGTGTTCGGAGGAAGACGGTAGGGTCAAGGCGTTCCCAGATCGTTAGTTGCACCTCCCCTCGACACAACACCACCGCGAATCATGCCCAACGTTCCTTTGGTAGTCGTTGGGTCATATTCCTGCCGTTCTCCTTCGTTCCCTTCCTTCCTCCCTCCCTCCCTTCATCGCCTTCCAAACCCGACCACCGCGAAGACCATTACCAATTCATCTTCCTCTCTTCCTCCATCCGTCGTCTTTGGAAAACATGGCGGCTTGTTTCACCCCCAGCTTCTCCCCCCCCCCCCCGGTCCCCATCTACCGTCCTATCCTCCGCAAGCTAGTAGGGGGGTGCGGGCCTCAGCAACAATAACGGATTAGTTATGAACAGTTTCAGTTACTACTGCTCGCACGTAACTGCCTTCATCGCGCTGTGAGATTTCACATCCACCGCCTTTATAAAAGCCAACGACCTCTCGTAAACACATCACGTCGTTGTCTGCAAGGGCACTCGCGTCACTGCCACGGTCTAGAAATCCCCCTCCCCSCCCCCCCCCCCCYCCCCGGGATYGACCCACCACGCCYTACTCCCTCCACTCTCTCTCGTTACCAATGAATGGATGGGTCGATCGAAAGGACGGCTCGCAAATGGGTCGGCAGATGGGTCAGCCGACGGATCGGTCCTGCTTGGCCACGTGTCTATCCGCTGCATGGTTCCCAGCAGTCTGGCCACGTGTCGCTTATTTGTGAGGCGAAATGCATACAACAGTACATAGTTGATGGCCCGCTCAATCGACCGGAATATTTTTTAAAAAAACATATGAGCGAAACCTCGCCTTTTTTGACAAGCTTACAAAGAAATCAAAATTGGAAACAGAAAAAGAAAAGGTCGTATGGTGAACTTAACCAACTCCTGCACCGAGCGTAGAAAGAGCATGATTGCTTGGAGCTTGGAATACTTAACCAACTCCTGCACCGATTTCACACCTTGGTCCTGCCGATAGATTTGGTTCATATAGGTTACGACTACCATCCAGACCCGAATAGAAAGCACGGTCATTAGCGCTGAACATAGACTGAGAGTTGCACTAAATACAGCTACAACGACCGTGCGTTGTATTCGGTCGAAGACGGTGGTGGACTTTGTAAAAAACTGTATAACAACAGCGACGGCCTCTCACGTCACTCTCAAAAACTTATTGCCTCCGCTGTAAAAAGCGTGTGGAAGTACTGGCAGGGACAGGGCCCATGGCTGCTATTTTTATGCGGGAAGGCAACCACCTGGCCATAAAAATCGCCAGGTTCATTCATTCACTTCCACCCTCGACGCGCCTACTTTGCCCCCACAATCGGTCCCTGGTTCTTTCCACGGTTAGAGGGATCTTTGTATCATCTCATCTCTTTCGCAATGAAGCCAGCACCGACTTTCGCGCCCTTCGGACGGCGCCCTTCGACCAATCAATCCGAAGTTGCCGCTTCACTCTCCCTCGCTCAAGCGCTCAAGCGCTCCAGCACCGTGACCAATCAAACCGAAGTTTCCCTTTCACCCGGTCAAGCGGGGCTTTGGCGGCAAGGAGAAGACGTCGAGAGGAAGGGGACGTCGAGAGAGGGGAAAGGAGAAAAGATGTGCGAGAGAGGTGGGCCTGAAAAAAGTGAAGCCTCGGACGGAGGAAAGGAGAGGAAAGGAGAGGAAAGGGGAGGAAAGGGGAGGAAAGGGGAGG